TTGTATTATGATGTCTAGAAGGCATTTTTGTATTATTGGAACAATGTTGATTCCATTTGTACAAGTCCATGGGCTCAATTTTTTTTTTTAAAAAAATGCACACACAGAAACAAATCTTTCTTTTATAGTATCATTGCAAATAGATCCTCTCTCAGAAAATCACCCTACAGTTACTGTTTGTCATGTCCTCTGAATCACATAGCTACTCCTCCTGCCTTCTCCCACCCCTGACTCTGGATCTTGTCACTCCCTATTTGTCCTTGTGCACTTGGGGAGCCCAAGAGGGGTAGGAAGAGAAACTGGAACAAAATAGCTGAAGGGACAGTAGGGAGGGGAGAGCAGTAAATCAGTGTCTCCCTGTCCAGACAGACATCACTCCTAATCACGTCAACAGTTGATTGCTGGAAGTCACTGGGCATCAGGATAAGGCATGGTGCTAATGCAGGATTGTTACCACTGGCTGATCCTTTCCCCATCAACTGGAATATGCCAGTGAGAAGCTGACAATGAAGGGGAAAGCTACTCCAGTCCATACCTCCCTTACCATATATGTGTCAGTATCATATGGAATACAGCATTTGATTTGGAGGAAGGAGATGCAAAAATTGGGGGAGGGAACATAGATGCTCAGATTACAAAATATTACTTGCAGAAAATAGCAAAGTCTTGGCGTGATTGTTAAGGAAGTGCAAAAGCAGGGCTGCCGTTGAATATTAAGAAAACAAAAATAATAACTACCAATGATTTTCACAACTTCAAAGTGAAGAAATAGGTAAAGATTTTCTATACTTTGGCCCAGTCATTAATCAAAATGGAGACTGTAGTCAAGAAATGAGAAGAAGATTAAGACTTAGAAGGGCAGCTATGAAGGAACTAGACAAGACCCTGAAGTATAAAGATGCATCATTAAATGCCAGTCAGAATCATTCAGGGCATAGTATTTCCAGTTTCTGTGTTTGGGAGTGAAAACTGGACAGTGAAGAAAGCTGACAGGAAGAAAATCAATTCATTTGAAATGTGCTGCATAGACTGCTAAAAAGACAATTCAATGAAACTTATGAAGAAAGACTTAGGGAGCTGGGTATGTTTAGCCTGGAGAAGTGATGGTTAAGGGGTGATATGATAGCCCTGTAAGTATTTGAAGGAGTGTCATATTGAGAGGATGGAGCAACCTTTTTTCTGCTGCTCCAGAGAATAGAACACAGAACAATGGATGCAAGCTACAAGAAAAGAGATTCCACCTCAATATTAGGAGGCACTTCCTGACAGTGAAAGCTGTTCAACAGTGGAACACATTCCCTCAGAGTGTGGTGGAGTCTCCTTCTTTGGAGGTCTTTAAACAGAGGCTGGATGGCCATCTGTCTGGGATGCTTTGATTGTGATTTCCTGCATGGCAGGGGGGTTGGACTGGACGGCCCTTGAGGTTTCTTCCAACTTTATGATTCTATGAAACCCTAGAGTAATTCAGACCTGAACTCACACTGTTGTTGTGTTCCTTAAAGTCACTTTCAACTTATGGTAATCCTAAAGTGAATCTATTCCTGGCAAGATTTGTTTGGGTGTGTGTGTTTACCTTTGCCTTCCTCTGAGGCTGAGAGTGTGTGACTTGTCCAAGGTCACCCTGGGGGTTTCTGTGGCTAAGTGGAGATTGGAACTCTGGTCTCCAGAATTATAGTCCAATGCTCAAACCATTAAACCACATTGGCTCTGAACTCTCACTACAAGCCCAGATGACTGTCATAATCAATGCAACTCATTGAAAAGAATGGCAATGTTTGGTAAAGTAGAAGGCATCTGATAAAAAGAAAATGGTATCAGGATAGTTTCTAGTTGTGGGGATGGCATCCACATTACTGGCCTCCTTGCTTGCACTAAGAACCAAAGTACACTTTTTTAAAAAATGCTTTCACTAGCCATAGCTTTAGCAAGTGAAAAAAGAACTGGTGTCCTGTATTGCTAATAGTTGTATGGAAGAGGGTTGCTTGTCATGCAAGCTCAGCTTGCTAAAATTCCCTCTTCTGCACAGCCATTACAGATATGAAAGCCCTGTCCTGTTTTTCACTTGGCAACCCTAACCAGCCAGAAAATAGGTACACAGGGCTTGATGGAGATGAAGACTTCTTCCTAGTTTCCCAGCAAAAATCCACAAACACACTTAAGATGTTATTCCTGTCTGTTCTGCCCAAGGTGAAGACAGCTTGGAAGCAAGCAGGTGGTGGCAAGGAGTAGCAACAACAACAACAACAACAACATGGAGCTTACAGTGGCATTAAACCCTCTTGATGTGCTCTCGAAAAGCTTATCACCCCATTAATATAATTGGAAGAAGCAGCTCACAAATAAGAGCCAAGGTGATAAATCGTTGAGCGCAATGACATTACATAATTAATGTATCCCATTTGGTAGAAATTTCAGGGAGATATGGGTTGGAAGCAGCCACATATCACTCCAGACATTAATGTTACCCAGCCCAGGTCTTCAGTTAGGGTCAGTTCTGGCTAATAGTACCTATTTAAGAAGGGTTTAAAGATAATCCTACTGAAAGAAACAAGAACAGAAACAACAATAATAAATATCCTGCCTTTTTCCTAGTCCAGGACTCAAGAAGGTTTTACAAAAGTGAAAACAGATACAGCTAACTACATTTACATCATTTGTTGTTGCTGTTGTGTGCCTTCAAGTTGTTTCTGACTTATGGCGACCCTAAGGCAACTGTATCATGGGGTTTTCTTGGCAAGTTTCTTCAGAGGGGAGGTTGCCATTGCCATTCTCTGAGGCTGAGAGAGTGTGACTTGCCCAAGATGGGTTAGCACGTCCGAATCAGGATTTGAGCCCTGGTCTCCAAAGTCCTAGTCCAACACTCCAACCACTACTAGAAGATCGCAGAGCAGCTGATGCATAATGCTCTTGCACTGCTCTTGTTTATTTTGGGAAGGAGGAGAGAATGGCCTGACGGACCGTATACGAAATTTTGGGTTTATTGCTATAAGGTAGCTCTCCCTACATCATGCACATTACTTTTTAAAACACCCGATTTCAAGACTCCCCAAGTTTCTAGTTGCCATTATAGTAGCAATTTTAACAAATCCCTGTACTTTCCCATTTCTCAAAAGTAATTGAAATATTACTTTCAGATCTTTTCAGAAAATCTGAATGTTTTTCATTTAGTACTACAAGGAACATCACAAGCCAACACTGTGATATTTCTTCTTCACTATTAAGTAATATTCAAGCCATATCCTTGTAATATTCAAGCCATATACTTGTAATTATAAAAATAAGTAAAAGTTACAGTTCCACTGCACAATGTAATTATTCTTTGTTAAGTTGTAGCCATAATGCAATGCGGTTTTACACTGGTTGTTATGAAAAGGAATTAATTGCAAACAATTTGTGGTTTGTTATTTGGAATTAGTTACTTCCAAGATCTGGCCAACCCAACTCAAAATGCAGAAATCCTTCACCCTAACCAGATTTTTGAACACTAGCATCTTCCCTGAATTAATCAAAGCTATAAACAACGGTGCTTTTCCCCAGCTGATTTTGAGGTAGGAATCCCTTTAGATAAAAATTTAATAAAATCCATACATTTCTTCATATTCAGAATGGGAAGAATTGAAGATTACCCTTTTGGATTCTTCCATTAGATCCCAAACATTTTATACTTAACTCTTTAATGTCTGGATCTGAATTTCTGGGCTTTAGGACAAGCCAGCATGGCGTAGTGGTTTGAACGCTGGACTATGACTCTGGAGACCAGGGTTCAAATCCCAGCTCAGCCATGTAAAAATCTACTGGGTGACCTTGGGCAAGTCACACTCTCTCATCTTCAGAGGATGGCAATGGCAAACCCTCTCTGAAGAAACTTGCCAAGAAAACCCCATTATAGATTCGCCTTAGGGTTACCATATGTCAAAATTACTTGAAGGCACACAACAACAACAAAGTGGAGAATTAGGGTTGCCTCCTCCTTTGTTTCAGAGTTGCTCCACATTTTTGACATCTGCATGCAAGGAGGTGTGGTATAATCCTATGTTGGGAATGTCTGTCCTTGTAGAATTTGGCTGCAGCAAACAGAGGAGAATTTCATTTCAATTCAGTTCAGAATTTATCAAAATTTGCATGATTCGTATTTAAGACAGAAAAATTGCAGAGGAAAGTAACACAAGACAGGGGTCATTTGCACTGCAGAAATAATCCGGTTTGAGACGACTTTAATTGCCATGGTTCAGTGCTATGGAATTCTAGGAACTGTAGTTTGTGCCGTAACAAACTATAGTTCCTGGAATTCCATAGCAATGAGCCATGGTAGTTAAAGTGGTGTCAAACTGGGTTATTTCTGCAGTGTGGTTGCAGCCACAGATTTTTTTTTCTTTCCTTAATTTGAATCTAGTATTTCTTGGGGGATCTAAGTAATGCCTCTCTGCCTGACGGTAAGTGCCTCTTCCGTAAGCAGAGAAAGAAGCATCTCTCCGTGGAAGGCTGCCACCAAAAGGTTAAAGCAAGCATGCCATGGACCCATCTGCAAGATAAGTCTGGGGGAAAAAGGAGGTAACCTGGACTGGCCTGAAGCTAGTAGCATCAGCAGCAGCAGCAGTCTGCCACTTCTCAGTCTGGGCCTTTCCATTGTCTGCCATATCACTCGCTATCGATAAGAAATGACAGGTGCCTAAAGGGAGATGAAGCTCTAGAAAGAAATGAAGAAGCAAGCAGCCTCTCAGGCTCTCTGCGGAGTAGAGCATTGATGGGAGGGTTGTCGTTCTACTTCTCTTTAGCAGCATTTTGTACTCGCTGGCGCAGGGCGGGCAGCCTCTCTTTGCTCTCCTTCCCAAACAAATGAACAAAGATTAGTTCTCACTTGTTTTGCCTGCTTCAAAATTAGCACTTTTGTCCTAGATAAATTTTGGGAGGAGGGAGGAGGAAAAAAATATTTTTGGGGTAGAAAGAAATGTGACACAGGCATCATTTTGTGGGTTTTTTGTTTTGTTTTGTTTTTATATTTCTCCTCCCAATGTTTGGAAATTGAAAGTGACAGCTCCCATAGAAATGGCCACTCTGTTAAGGGATGTAATTCTTTGGTAATGCTGTTATGCAAGGAAGCAGTGAATTTTAGCAATTTTCTTCCTACTACGAGGAAGTTTTTTTAAAAACTGCACAATTTTCAAAGACTATTTGCATTTTGGGACTTAACCTGTGCAAAATTTGCATATGGCATTTTTGTGCAGAAAACAGCATTTTATATAAGGAATCGGCACTTTCTGCTGTTTTTTTTTTGCACCAAAAAGTGTGAATTTTGTGCAGAATACATTCTGAACTACAGTGATTATCATGTCTAGGATTTTCCTTGGTAGAGTTTCTTGACAGGGTTTTTCTGCTATTTGGGGGAATAGTTTCGAACATTCTTTCAATGCTTACCTCCATTCACTAAGGGCTATTATTATATTAGATAGTAGATTAATGTCTATAGAACCTCTCTCTCACACATACTTTTACCAAATATTTACTGTGACCTGAAGCAATTCTCTCATCCTCAATGACCACCACACCATTCCATCTACAATATAGGGATAACAATCTTGGCCTACATATTGTTGTTGTTGTTGTTGTTGTTGTTGTTGTGTGCCTTCAAGTCATTCCAATTTATGGCGACCCTAAGGTGAACCTATCAAGACCTACCTTACAGGACTGTAAAGATGGCTGAGGTTAGATTATGTGAACCACTTTGAATTCTCTAAAGTAGGATTTAGGGGGAGACCCAACATAGAAAATTATCAGACAGGGGATAATCAAGGAAGAAAAAGGCATGCTCCCAGGATAATTGCGCGATTGCAGATGGCATCACACTTATCCAGATGGTGTCATGCTTATCCAGAACTTATCCTGGGAAGAACAAAGAATGCTCCAGCAACAAATCATTCCTGGGACTTCCCTGTGAATAGTTTGTTGCTGGAGATTTCCTGTATCTTCACAGGAGAAGTCCTGGATAAGCACGATGTGTCAGAAAATCTTCAGCGTGATCAGTTACTTTGCTGGGAGTATGCCTTTTACTCACAGCTTTTTTTTCCAGGTCTGAAAATCTCCATAGTGTAGTACAGGGGTAGGCAACCTTTCCCCTTTAAGGGCCGAGGGACTTCAGCTCCCAGAATCCCAGGAGCTATTGTCCAACATGGCTGAGGCTTCTGGGAGCTGAAGTCCCTCAGCCCTTAAAGGGGAAAGGTTGCCTACCCCTGGTGTAGTAGTTTGACCGCTGGACAACTCTGGAGACCAAGGTTCAATTCTCTGCTCTGCCATGGAAACCCACTGAGTGACTTTGGACGAGTCATATACTCTCAGCCCCAAAAAGCTCTGTGATAGGTTTGCCTTAGGATCGCCATAAGTCAGAAATGACTTGAAGGTACCCAACAATAACAAGGGGACTTGTACTTTTTTTTTAATACTCATGTCTACCGAACCAAGTAGGGTAAGCAAGTACAGGATTGGTGTCCAAGCGACTCTCAGGCAGGCCCTCACATACGATCTGCATGAGATATCTTGACTGAAACCCTAGGCCAGTCAAGCTTTCCCAAACCTATGCCCCTGAGATGCTTTGTACAACAACTGTCATCACTGGCAATGCTGGCTAGAGGTGATTGGGGATGTATTCTATGGGGAAGGTTTCCCTGGGCACTTTTCTTCCAATGCTCAGCATTTTTGACACTTAACAGAC